TTTAAATTTTTATATTTTCCTTTTTGGACGGAATAAACCTTATTCTTAAGTAATATGTATCATTTTAACAATGCATGGGTCATATACAAATTTGATATAAGGGTTATTATATACTATATACATGTATACACATTTAGGGCCTGTTCGAGGCACGTAATAAAAGCGGCATTACTGCCGTACTGATGAAAAATGGCAACATTGTTGCAACTGCCCAGCTGATAATACATTGCAACACTGCGGTTGTGATTGCAACTCGAACAACCCCTTATTTCATATTTGGATTAGACGCAACCGTAGGGCTTATAACATTAAAAAACGCTTTTATAAGTTAATACCTGCAAAAATCGTGCCTTCCCTTTTTCTTTTTCGACTCACTGAATGCGCGCGGAAAATCGACGACAAAATAACAATAGGGAGTATTTAGGGACCATTTCGGTACTTTCGAGACCAAATATATAGATAAATGTGTATATCAATAAATATATCGAACACTAATATCGATAACAATATTGATAAATATGGCTGTGTGCCAATCGGTAACATTTTTCTCCGTGGTGAGACGGGGGAAAAATTCACTATGGTGTACAAATAAACTGAATTTCGCTGTGCCAAATGCAAAGCAAAATTTTGACAGTTCAAAAAATAAACAAACAAACACTCGGCCGAAAGCTCTATTTTTGTGTTTTGCCCAAATTTATATGTACATATTTTGCAACTTGCTTTTTTGTGCTTTTTCAGCTTCCATTTGGATTTTCACTCTTTATTACCGCCAAACAATACTGTGCATACATATATATGTATATGCTGTCAAAATTTTACCTAGCCCCATGAGCTAGGTAAAATTCTGACGTTGGTATTCACCACGAGAAATGTCTAGTTTTTAGTTACATCCGTCAAAATTTCTTATTTTCTATCAATTGGCACAGGCCCTGTATCAATAAAAATATCGATTAGTAAATCGATAACAATATCAACAATTTTTTTCGGAAAAAATATCGATTATTATATCGATAATAATATCGATTATTATATAGATAAAAATATCGATTATTATATCATTATTCACATCGATTATAACATCGATAACAATATCGCAAAATCATTAAAGATTGCAAAATCATTAAATTTCCCCGAGAATCCCGAAGTAGTCTCGAAAATCTCGAAATAGTTCTGATTTTTAGTTTGTAATTATTTTTTTATTTCATCATTTGTCTATGAAATTTACAATTCTTACAGACTACAAAATGAAAAACAGTATTAATAAAATTATTGACAGCAATATTATTACATAAGTGTGATTTTAAATTATATTTTAAGTCCACTTTAGAAGTTGAGAAACAAAGAGCTTAATTAATTCGAACATTGTTTTGTTAATCGGGGCATTAGAGCCATATACAGTCGCAAGACTATAAGGCACATTAAAATTAATTTTACACAGCAGTGAAGAACAGTCGACAGATTCAGTGACCATGATTCAATAACACCATGGTTGCCGGTTGGCAACTTCTCGTTTTAATTCCGCCATATTGACTGCCTTAGGTGAAACAGTGTTACCTCGTTTGCTTAATAATATAGTTGAATGTTTTTTATTTATTTTTTCTCAGTATACACATTTTGTTTTCTTAAAAAGGTATTTTATCTAATTTAATTTAATTTCTTTACGAATGTTCTATAAAAAAGCAAATTTTGTTTAGGAGAAAATGTGAAGTTTTATATTTTTCACCCATATGGGGGATTAATTTCTTCCCGTTCTTCTTCTCATTCTACTGAGCTAAGACAGCGTCAAATCGAGCTGTCACAACTGATACCACCTTGTATTATTGCATCATGCAATAAAACATGGTTTTGTAATTTGTGAAAACTGAAATTTGACACTCCTTTATCTAGATTTGTATTTTGGAAGTAGGGAAGGGGAAGAATGTGATCGCCTTCTGCGAAAACGGTAGTAGAAAGGTACTAAAAAAATTGCGCAAAGAATGCAATTAGAAGTAAAATGTGTGTTATTAATTCTATGTGAATTTGTAATACATTTGGTGTTTTAATGGAAATACTAAACAATACGTAAAAATATGGATTTTTAATTTAAGCTATTCGTCATTTCCTGGAAAAAATCTAGAATACCCACCGTCCAGCTATGTAAAAACGAAAAATGCAGATCAATAGAACACTTTACGCTCATTTAAAGCATGCGAAAATTATTTAGCGCAAGACGTTTTAGAAGTTTTAAGATACATTTTTTGATTGTTTTAAATATTAATATCTTATGAACCACATAACCGATTAAAAAACTAATAACGTCACCAAAAAGATAATAAATTTATCTTTCAGCTGATATACATAATTGAAATTGTTTTTTATATATTTAAACCAAAACCACTAAAAAACGAACAAATGTTATTTTTTCATGAAATAAATTTTTTGTAAAAAACTGCATGATAAATCGTAAAGAAATTTATTTTATTTAGAAAGTACACAAGTTTAATGCGGTATACATACTTAATCATTATCTACTTTTGGGTTTTAAGAATTAAGTGATATTAAAAAATATAAATAAACAAAGCAAATAAACCTCTTATATCTTCTTTATAATTACCTGCGCCAAATAAATTTTATATCGTTGAAATCAGCGTAAAAAGTTCTATCAATCGGCATTTTTGGTTATTTTATAGCTAAAAGGTCGCTATTCCAGACTTGTTCCAGAAAATTACGCAAACGAAGGTTAGATTGTGAAAAAAATGCGTAATACCGTCAGAAAAAACTTGCACTTTATTATACTAGTAGGTATTTATTGGGCTATTAAACTACATACTCCAAAAAATTATAAAAAATCTCAATAAAAAGTTGAAAATTTAGCTGAAACTTTGCAGATTTTTTATAATTTTTGAACAAAGTTTCAAATGTGGATTTAGATGATGTTTGTTATATAATGAGCTAAACTTTAAAGAAAAAATAATAAACATTAAATAAACAAAAGAAAAATAAAAAAAAAATATCAAAACGTTGCTCCCTCATTTAGCTGATCACAATGTAAGTCATTGTAATTTAAATTTCGTATTTGGAACTCAAAAATTTCAAATACAAATAATGCAAATAATTCTTCTTCCAACTTATATAATACAGACCGTAATCACATAATTGATCACATAGTGATTTTTTACAATATTTACCATATTTTTCATAATAAATTGTTGCCGATTTTTTTATAAAAATTTATTCTATACCCTAAAAAACATGTAATCCAAATTTCAAACTTTATTCACAATTTGCGAAAATCAAGCAAATTTTCATCTAAACTTAATGAATGATATCTCATTTTGAAGGGGGGAAGCGTTGTTCAAATTTAGATATTTAATAAAAAAAGGATTTTGAAAAGCTGAAAGCACTGTATCCGGTCATTAAAGCGCCATATCTGCCATAAAACTCCATGAAATAGACACCCCTATTCTGCAACTCTTTCGTATTCGGATTTTGCTACGAATCTTAGAAATAGTATGCTGCAATCCAAATCGTATTTCGAACTTTCGAAATTCGTAACAATGGCATGCCTTAAAACGAACGAGTAAAAAATTTACAGCTTTCTTTTTTTTTGGTAGAAGCGAGATAAAAGATGTAAATCGATGTGTATTTGCAGGAAATATTAGTGGTGTTCCTTTAAACACACAAATTTGCCTTTCGTATATGGGAAAATCGGAAAATCTTTTGAGAAAAAGTATATTTTGTGCGAGTTGCACTAGAAGTTTCCTGATTTTCTCGATTTTAGCAAGTAAATTAGACATTTAAGCCGTTAGTTTTGTTATAAATAACAATTTACTGATATTTACACATACATATAAGTAGTATTAAAGCATAAACAGACGGCAGCGTTGATCCGGATCAACTCGGGAATTAACTGCAGTTGATCCGGACTAAGTCCGAGTTAATCCGGATCAACGCTGCCGTCTGTTAAAGCTTTTAGCCAAGGTATAGAAACCGCACTTGGCAGTACAGTTGCTTTGTAGCGGCAACAATATGCCAGTACGCAAGATGCCCCCGTCTGAAAAGATTTCCCCATATACGTAAATGTATTTTTATCCACTGCTTTATATGAATAAACAAAAAATAATGCTTGTTGCCCCTTTATCGAGAATCTTGGGTCCGGTTTAGTTATTTGTACAGTGACTTCTGGTTGTTGTGTCCAAACGCATAACCCGCATCTAAAAACTTTAACATACACGTGTAATCAAAGGATTAAACTTTAATTTGAAATAAATGTTTCAAAATTCCGAGCAATAGTTTATTAATAAATTCGGTCTGCACTATACACTTTTTTGTAAATTTCGATGTGGGTTCTGCGAAAAATACTGTGGATAGCGTAGCCTAAGTTATATGCCTTTGACATGCGGAAGCCCCTCTTCTCCGGCAACTTAGAAAGAAGAATTCTACTTATTAAGGGTTATAATCTCTAAGCACGTCCGAAGGCCAAACATCAAGGAAAGGGCAAGAAAGCCATCAGTGGCCTTGTATTGCAGTAGGGGTGCTATTGGTATCTCGCCTAAAGTTGTCTATTGGCTCTACGAGACCGTAATCAAGCCAGTTATGTTTATGACGCACTAGTCTGGCGGAGTTCACTGAGGAAGGCTACACTAGCTAGGCAGTTGGAGCGCGTACAACGGGCTGCATTAATTGGTATTCGTGGGGCACTGCGGACCGCCCCCACTTTCGCATTGAACGTAGTGTTAAACGTAGTGCCCGTCGACGTTGCAGGCAGAATTGTCGCAGCACGAACGGCTATTAGACTCAGGGAAACCGATTGGTTGACCAACTTAGGGACTGGACACTCTGGAGTTCCAGGGGGCTTCGATTTCATCCCGGATCGTATGGTTTACTGCACCACCGATACGGCTCCTAGGAGCTTTTTCTCCGTCCACTTTCCCCCAAAGGATAGGCGGGACTTCTAGAGGAGGGAAGGGTCGTGTGGAAGGGTCGTGTGTCGAGAGCTTTCCATCAGCACTAAGTTCAGGGTCCCGGACTTCTGCAGCGTACTCCCAGCGAGCGCTGGGCGAATACCACGACATGTACCACGAGTGTAAATGCAGTTTGAAGTTGAAAATTTGGGTTCTTGTGGCTTTTACATAGGTATGTACATATAGTTCGTTCTATTTTCAAAAGTGATGTGTCAATTGAAGGGGTTTGGCCTATAGATGTGCAATAAAGTTTTTTATTTTTGAAAAGGGTTGCCACCTGATACAAATTTTATTAAAATTATTTGATATGTCAAATGAATTAGATATTACAATATGGGTATCAATTGAACTAGGTTTGAAAATACTTTACTTCTAAACAACACGCAAAAGGGTTGCCACATGTTTAAAAAATCAAATTCACTTTAATTAAGGGAATGAGGTAACTGAAATATGTATATTAATATGAGTATCAGAAAAATGAAAAAAATTTACATATTTAGAAAGGAATAAGTGAAGAGTAAAAACATTCCTAAAAACATTTAAAAGGAATTTAATCAGAACAAATCGCTGATTGACAATGTATGTATATGTAATAAAATAATAAATACGATGGCGTAATCCTATGGTTTAACGTAATTATTATTTTAGTTTAACTAAATTCGATTTTACAAACAGGTGGCAACCCTATTCGTAATATTTTTAAGCTAAAAGCTTCTTAAACCTCTGTAGTCTGAGTCCCTTATGGTGATACGTATCTACTTAAATTACCTAATTCCTTTAATTCAAGTGGAATTCGATTTTTTAAACCGGTGGCAACTCTCTGCATGTAGGTAATACACATTTCGATTGATACCCATCTCTTAATAATTCATTTAACTTAAACAAAAATTTTAATCAAATTTTTTAACAATCTAATTTTTTAACAGGTGGCAACTCTTAAAAAAATATAAACCTTCTATTGTCCACAGGTTAAGCTTTTTAATCTGGCACTTCATTTTTGAACGAATCGTGCAGATCTCAAGGCACTGACAAAAAAATGAAAGAAAAAAATTTTATGCATTAGCGAAAAACGCATTACTTCAGAAAATGCAAAAAATTAGCATGTTTTTATTTCTTCTTTTGAAAGCTAAAAGCCCGTACTATTTAATAAAATAATATAAAATAACCTTTTTTTACATATATTTTTTATTCATTCCATTAAAATTTAGCATTTTTTGAAAGTTTGTTTAAAATTTTTTTTCTAGAATACCGCAGGGACACCCTGTGTTTAATTTTATTCCAAAATTTAAATTTTAATTCCTGTAATTCTCTACTATCT